CATCGCTACTCAACAAACCAGCTCATTCTTTACAACAGGAGTGAGCAAAGTGCGGCCTGTGAGCTGGATCTGGTCTACCACCACTATGTTTACCTGCACTTTTGCAGGTATCAAAGAACTGAAGCTCTTGTTAGCGCTGTGACGGGGAGTGCATACCCTGCACTGAAGCAGATGGGATTAAAACCCAGTGGGCGGAGGAAGTCCTGCCCCTTCACCCAGACTGGGCATGCTCCAAATGCTGGGGCAGCATAAAAGGCAGAAGAGCAGCTCAGTCTGGGTGGACCAGCAAAGGATAAGGACCTCCAGCTGGTGCTCTTGAGCTGCAGCAGCCAGTGACTCAGACAGTGGGAACCAGAGCTCCTGCGGAGTTCCAGGGAGATGCTGCTGCCAGGGAATCAGAAGACCCAGCTACTGCATGGGACGCTGACCCAACAGAAGCAGTAGGAAGTAACCCAGGGAGGGTGCAGGGGCAGCCTCTCCCACCCAGATACACTCAGTGTGTTTTAGCCAGATTCCCAGCCAAGGCAGTGGCAGACCGTTCTGCTGCTCACAGGGCCCTGGGTTGGGACCCTGTGGAGTAGGGTGGGCCCGGGTACCCCTACCAGGTATTTGCCCCAACTCTGGCTATTAGGCCACACTGTCCTGATCCAAGGGCTGTCTACTCTGACACTTAGGCCACACTGCCCTGAGACCTGTGCCACCTAGCATCTCTAGTCTGTAGGGCATACTGCCCCACATGAGGGGTCACTAACAGAGGCTATTTGTTGACTTTGGACCAGTGGGCTATACAGCCCTGTGAGCAGGGCTGCTTATGGACTCTGGGTTACCCTGAGACAAGGGAAGATCAGACGGCCAGCTACCTTGTGACCAAGCAGGTGGTGTCCGCACTCTGGAATATACTCACACTTGTGACAGGGAGTGCATACGACGCCACAACCACGAATCATCATTTGCAGCCCATGCAAGTGGTGGGAAGTGACATCCTGGTCTGAGCTGTTTCCTGCCACTCGCATGGGCTGCAAATGGCGATTTGCGGGCAATGAGAGTTGCGATCACCTGATACCTGCAAAAGGGTAGGTAAACATAGCAGCGGCAGTCCACCAGGGACTAACCCTGACAGGCTGCTGTTTTTATATTGCCCACTCCTGCTAAACCATATGCTATACAGGAATATGAATGGCAACATACTTCAGGTGCTATATCTCCATGACTGCAGGGTTGGCACCATTGCCTGACACAGCCCTGTGACTAGTACTGATATAGTATAAGACCAGCACATAACAACAACAGTGTGGCATGCATGTGTGTTTTCCAACTCCTATTTCAATAGTCTAGGGCAGCAAATGGGGTCTAAAAGAACCATTAAATAGTTAATATATAAAAGCCAAAAATGGATTCCTTGACTGGGGTCCTTCTCCAATGCTTATAGGTCACAAATAATTAATAATTTTGAACGTTTGAAATGCCTCAATTGTAGAAAACCAAAAACTTGTTTCTGTCAGAATAAAAAACCTTGTTCTTGAAGTAATTGAAATTAGGTCCAAACCACCATCTTCTATCATGAAGAAACAGCCAAAACAGACCATCCCTAACACAGCTCACCCGAGAATGAAAAGGGTGGACTTTGATTGCCATTTGCATGAGCTAGATGCCTATCATGTTTTGATTTAAGGATGTATCAATTGCCACATAGAATCTATTAAGACTACCAAGAGTAAAAAGATTGTTGACCCTCGGAAGGAAGGAAGGAAGGAAGGAAGGAAGGAAGGAAGGAAGGAAGGAAGGAAGGAAGGAAGGAAGGAAGGGATTTTGCTCCAGAACCTATTTTGTAGTTGGAAAATCCGATCATATATTTATAAAGCTAGTGTTGAATTTCCACCTCTCACTTGCCACCTGCAGAAAAAAGTTCTCACCTACATGAAGTTTAAATCTTGTTGCCATAAATACTGAGGTATATTTCTTATAAACAGATATGATTTGTTGTTTCTCTGGTTTTGTCATGCACATATGTTTTTGTTTCAGAGGAAATGAACAAATAATGTAATCATCAAGTGATCTGTCCCCTTTCACCTGATCCTAGCTTCTAGCAAATTCTGCTTATTCTGGTTAATGGTCATTGATGCCTAATTGACACTCACTACTAGTTTACTTAGATTTTTACATGTTTCCCAAGTTTGGAGGATAAGCATCCACCTTAATGAAGAATTATTGTTAAATAGATATAAAATGTGTTTTAATAACTTTGCTCAACTTCAAGAGGACAAAGTCTAAAAAAGAGGACATTTCTCTAGAGATGTAAGATAATAAGCTTCCTTAAGAGACCTCTTTCTTCATCAGGTCATTGGCTTGAAACTTATTCTTTTAATATCACTCCTCAATTGCCTGATTATCATTTTTCCATCATGAAGCCTCCTATCTTTTAAAATGGAGCATTCGTCATATGAAAATATGTCTTACTTCATCCAAAAGGTAGATGAAAATAAAGAGTAATAATGAACCTGCTATAAACAATGGCCAAGTGGGTGAAGTCAAAACACTAGCATTGTTCTACATGTTCAGCATCACACAAGCTCCAGTCTCATTCCTGTTTTCTTTTTCTTTTTTTTCTACTCAGTATCCTGCTTTGTTCATATTGTGGTAAAATTCCAGAAATACACATTTTTGTGATTTCATTATTTAAATATAATGTTAAAATGTTAAAGGAAAAGTATCTCTGTTAAATCAAAATTAATGTGATGAAATTAAAGTAAGTAATGCTTACTCTTTATCAAAACCACCATAAACTTAACTATCCATCTACAGCTAACACTGTAGTACCAAAATGTCTAACAAGCATCAATGAATGCTTCATAAAACCCATGGGATGAAACAAAATATAAATATTTCTATTTTACAGAAGAGGAACAAAGTCATAGAGGGAGGGTAAGAATGACTTTCCCAAAGAAAGTCTTTGCCACAGTCAGGAATTAAGCTCAGATCTCCTGAATCCTTCTCAAGTGTTTAAGCCACAAGACCAGTGATGGGCAACCTAGGCTAGTGAGGCTGCAAGATGGTCTCCTGGGTCAGGGCAATTTTGCTAACTATGCTTGCGTACCTGGAATTTGCCGGATGTGCCAGCTGAACCGTAGCAGTGGTTTGACTGGCTGCAGAGGGAGCTCGTGGTTCTTCCAATTAATGCTGCATGCCATCAGCACATGCTTCACTTCACCAACCTTTGCTTTAAAAGTGCATGTCGCTTTAGTAATACCGGTAGGAAAAAAACTACGTGGACAAAAACCAGCAGAATCTGGCAACTCTGTGTCCAGGCAACAATAAACAAAATGTCTTGTGGGCCACACACAGAACTCCAATGGGGTACATGCGGCCCATGGACCACAGGTTGCCTACCACTGCACAAGACGATGCTTCTTTCCCTGGACTGAGTCTCATCCAGCTACTTTTCAACTACAATCCATTTTCCCTTATATACTAAGACAACTGGAAAACAACACTGGCCATCCTTGATGAGAAAATAATGTGGAGCTGAGCATTAATCACATAGTGAGGACACTGCAGCAGTGGAGTAATGGGCTGTGCGTAGGTGGATCTCTTTTCAGTAATGGGGCCTTTGCCCAGTAATTAATAATTTATACTCTTCTTTTTTTCTTGATTTCTTTCTTCTGCTATGTACGTTTAAAAAACAGAATAAACTATGTGCAGAAAAATGTACTTCTTTTGTGTACAGAAGAATTGGACAAAACCAAAATATTGAAAAGCAACACTGCAGGAATAAATTGGAATATTTGAATTAGCCCTATTGACTGCTTTCATGTTAACATCTTTACAAAGTCATAGAATCATCAAAAATCATTTGTAAGCACGCAAAATAAATACAGAGACATGCTCAGTAGGGACAGGCAATTGATTCATTTTCAGCAATTGCTTGAACCTCATCAGCTTGGCATTTTCAAAGCAACACTGGTTGTAAAGGCAGAGAAGGGGAAAAAATCAGAAGGGATCTGTTGTTAGTGTACCACCATGATAAGCACAGAGCTACCTACAAGACTTAAGTTTTATGGAAATCTCCAGTTTTGTCCAATAATCACTCATCTTGGGAAAAAATAAACAAAGAATATCACGAGTCTAAAACTCGCAATATCTCATCTATTGCTCAACTGCAAGCAATGAACACCAAGAGCCACTCAGAAGAGCTAGTTTGTTATTTCAGTACAAGTGGCTTTTTGGGGGGAGGGGTTGGCTTGAATCTATTTCTAACTGACAAACTAAACTGAAATAAGAGTCTCCAAACAGTCCTTTAAATCAGTTTATCTAAGTAAGCTTAAAATCCCATTTTACACTAAATTCATGCAACTTCATATGTAAGCAATCTTTTCAAGGTACTCTCACAAGGGACTGCCATACTCCTTTAGCTTCAAGGGTGTTCTAAGGTATGTGCACCACAAGGGACTCTCACAAGGGACTGCCATACTCCTTTCCTCTCAGCCAGCCCTTACCTGTGGCAGTAAGGGGGCAAGCCATAGAGCAGGAAGTCCCATGCAGGTCCAACCCACTGGGGAATCCTCCTGTGACTAACTACACCAGCTTTAGCAGTGCTTTGCACTAGTGACATCCTGCACAGCAGTCTGGATGAAGAAGAGAATTTGGTCTTCTCTGGCACATGCATGTGTGGGCACATTCATGTGTGCGCACATGTGTCTACATGTGTGTAAACTATTCAAAACGGACTACAACTACTCACAACACATCTATGATCCAGTTCTAATAATTATATCTAATTTTGAAAATAATGTAGACTTTCTTCTATTTCTTCATGTTTTAGAAAATGGAAGAAAAACGTAGAATAGTCTCTGTATCAACTGCACATTCAGCCTTCTGATGGCACTTCACACCAAACCAGATATATAACTGTTCTTTACAGGATTTTAATTAAGATTTAAAGATTTCTAATCAATGTTTAATAAAGCTTTTCATTGTTCCTATTTTGTAAATACTTTACTTACCAATATCTGTTTCCTTGTGATTTTTTATATATTCAGCCAGCTCAAAATTTCCTGCTATTATGGCTACCTAAAAGATAGTAAAATAGCTCAAATTAATATGTGCTCAGAGACATATACCATGCAACTATATGTTTTTTACAGAGTCAGATATTGGTACCCACAACATACATTTAATGTTCAATAACAAAATGAGACAAAGTGCATTTATTTTGTATCTTTGACCCTCTCTCCCCCAAACAGAATACTGTTATATTTGTGTTAATTTTCTGAAACATAGTACAAAGAAATGGGAATCTCTATCACAGACATAGACAATGCAGGGAATGCTTCAATGGGAGCAGGGAAGAAAATAGAGCCCAGCCAAGGCCACCTCCTTTAAACCAGAACTGTAAAGGGGAGAGCCATTATTATGGGGGTACTAGGACCCAGCTGATGTTTCCCCCGCATGGAAGCTTGGGAGCTAGCTGCAAAGTGGAGCCAGCCAGCCACTGGAGCACAAGCAGCCAAAGCAAGGACCTTTGGTCCCTTGAAGAATTGTCTTCATTTTTGACTGGACTGCCTCTGCCCTGTGCTGACGGGCTGCTTGTTCCAACAATCTCCATCTGTATGCAGACCACAGTATCTCCATCTGAGCATCAGTTCTCTTCCTCACTTCTTTGTCTTCCACACCATCTTCCATTCAGTGTTCCCTCTGCCTTCCCTTTGGCTGATCCCCTATGCATTAAGCCCACCCACAAATAAAAATAAATGAAACATTGAGGGTACATCTACACAGCAGGGTTAAAGTCAAATTAAGCTATGCAACTTGAGCAACTTTTAGTCCTATCTACACAGCAGGAAGTCTGAGAAAGAGCACTCTTCCTCCAACTTCCCTTACTCCTCGTAAAATGAAGTTACAGGCGTCAAATTTGGGTGAGCCTACATAGCAGCATTATTTCAAAATAACCTCCAATATTCTGAAATAACTATGTGAGCGTCAACACAGATAGCCCACTATTTAGAAACAATTTCAAAATAACGGATGGCTTATTTCGGAGTTTGTGTACCTCATTCCACAAGGAATAACGCTTCTTCTGAAATAGCAATTTTGGAATATCAGTAGAGTGAATGCTACAATGCTGCTATTTCAAAATAGCTTCTCTCCCCCCCGCCCCCAGCCATTCAAAGTAATTACTCCCCAGTGCTTCCTGGGGTTCTAAGTCGAGGTAACACATCCACATTAATGGAGCCTGCCTCGGGCTGATTTCTAGACTTCCCTGTAGTGTAGAAGCGATATTTCAAAATAAGCTATTTTGGAGTACTTCTTCCAAAATAGCTCATTCTGAAATAATCGTGAAGTGTAGACATAGCCAAAGTAAGAAGACCTCCACTTCAACATTATTTTGATATTATGTCAAAATAACTGCTTGTAGTGTAGACACGGACTATGTTATTTTGGAATAACATCAGTTATTCTGAAATAACACTGCTGTGTAGATGTACCCTAAGGAACTAACATGACATTTGCTCTTATCGCATCAGTGTCTCTGGTTGCATGAGTGATGTTCTGTAATTTGAGGAAGCACTCTGTAACTCCCATTGTCTTCATTTTTATATCATTGTGATCTTACATATAAAGCATGCCTTGTAAAGTATCTGGGTAAAAGTTATGATTTGCTGAAAGTCATTTCTCTATCCCTATCTGTAGAGCATGGATGCACAGGAAGTTATGAGATTGTGTTGTATGGATGTTGTGAAAACATGCTGTAAATTGAGGAATCAGGCAGATATTAGCTCTGGAGAGACAAGAGCAAGGAGAGTAACCAATGCCTAGGAGGGGTGTCAGACAGCTACCAAGGGCCATTGTCCAGTAAGGGAACCACAATGCAATGACTCACCAGCTTGAGACCACACCAGGGGAATTACTCAACTTTGTTTGGAGACTCAGCAATTCCCCAAGACATGCCTGGACTTGTGCTCCCCAAGCACATGGGACTAAGAGTATAAAACTAAACATAGGGGACCATGCTTGGCCTATCTCCTGCCCCACCATGCTGTAAGTAGCAAGGATACTCCGCAGACTCCAACACAGGGACTGGAACAGATTTCAAGGCTGAAATCTGTGTATTATGGACTACAGGATCCACCGGGGTGAGAAAAATCTTCCGGATCAACTTGTTCCCCAGACTAATAGGGATGAGAGTTTAGACTGTGTGTTTAAATTTTCTTTTGGTAATTACTATGACTTTTTATTTAACAGTTAGTGTTTAAATTTGATCATTGTGGTCAATACTCTTCTTTTACCAAATATCGTTGCAAGTGAGTTAGTATGAAGTGTGGGGCAAATCTGCTCAGCTTTTACAAAAGTTTGTGTTTGGTAAATTTCCATCAATGAAGTGGTGAACCAATTAATAAATTGCATAGTATATCCTTGAAGTACAGTAAGTACTAGAAGCCAGGGCCACCAATGGAGAGGGATGGCAAAGAGGGCAGCTGTACTGAGGCCCAGCAATGTAAAAGGACCTGGGGCTCCTGTCCACTGCTGCTGCTACTTCACAGTGGCAATGGAAATGGCCAGAGCCCTGGGCCCTTTAAATTGCCACCAGAGCCTGGGGCAGTGCACACCCAGCAGTGCTTATGGGTTAGTGGGGAAGGCTAGCTCCCAACCCACCTCCTTTAACATCAGGCCACGCCTCTTCTGGAGGTCCAGAGCTGGGGCCCTCCCAGTCCTAGTGAAGTCTATCCTCACTCCCGCTAGGAGCTGGAGGGGGATTTATCTGGTGTCATACTCTGAGAAAGTCATAAGTGTCTCTGGGAGCATTGATACAATCTGGCTAGGTGTTGGGCTCCACATGCGGTTGTGCTAGGTGGTAACAGTGCCTGTTGAAGTTGCTGCTGGCAACTAGCAAGACATTATGAAACAGAGCCCACACTGGAGAAAGTTAAGGGGGCACAACTGTCGCACAATCCCAGGCCACCCCTGAGTGGGGGAGATCCTCCACCGTGTTATAACTCCTTCACCCACCATGTGTCTGTCTTGTCAGATTATAAGCTCTTCAGGGCAAAGACATATGTGTTGTCTGTCTCTTTGTCTGCCCTGGTCCTGCACTGCTCCCGAAAGCATCTAGCATGTCTTTTTGGCCCCTAGGTGAGTGTGTGTGGGGTGGAGTGGTGTCAGGAGGTCTCCACATGTTGTCCTCACCCCAAGTGTTGATTCACAACTTCCAATGTGGGTAGGGGGCAGCATGGAGAGCCACCTATCCTCCCACCCTCAGGGACCACAAGGAAGCTCCTGGCACTTCCACTTCTAGAAACAGCAAATGGGCAGGGAGCCTGCCTGAGCCCCACTGTGCCACCAATTGGGAATACCTACCCTCTCCTGCGCCTCAACTCCTCACCACTATCCCTGAGCCTCTTCACCCACTCCAAGTCCCTCCCAGAGTCCCTCCCCTCCACACTCCATCCTGAACCCCAACCCCTTGCCTCCAGCTCAGCCCAGAGATCCCTCCCACACTCTGAACCCCGTGGCCCCAGCCCAGAGCCCACATCATTTGCCCCATGCTGGGAAATGTGAGTTAGAGTGGGGGAAAGCAAATGAAGCCAAAGGGTGATGGAGTGAGTGGGGGTAGGGCCTCCAAGAAGGGGCAGGGCAGGGGGCAGATCAACGGTGTTTGGGTTTGCATGATTAGACAGTTAGCAACCCACTTCAAAGGTCTGTAGAGCTGGGGCTCCAGTCCAAGCCCAAATGTCTGTATTGCAATTCAAACAGAACTTTAACCAGAGCTCCCTGATTAAATAATGCAAGTATCTCCATTGTCTGTGTACAGAAGTACTCACAGACACTCTTATAACCCTTTCCCTTTTCCCCACTCTTGCCCCCCAATATTTTTTCACCTTTCAGGGTTCTCATTGCCTCCTTACTTCAGTGAGTACCACTCTTTTTCCAGACAACAATCTGGCTTCTCTCCAGTTAGGAACAATGGGAAGTAGTGGTCATCTTTCTCGAGAGTAGTAAAAACTGCCGCATGTATTGGTTGTAAAGCTTAGCTGAGGGAAACTTGTGGCCTCAGGCCTATTACAGTGAGAACAGGTGGTCATTTTGAAACAGGAAAACACTTTGGAAATTTAGTGCTGAGGGAGAAAAGTTTATTCACTGGCTCTGTTAGCTCATAAAATGTCAGGCAATTAAGTAAATACATTTTTTTCAGAGTGTGAGATATATAAAGATTGGAGCTTATGTAGGCAGTGATTTTTTTAGGTATCATACCAGAAAAAGGTGAGACTCAGAACAAATTTTGTAAAATGTACACTTTTAAAAATTACACTCTAATTATTAATTCACTTAAAATGCCCTATTGTCTATAGAAAACAAAGTTTGGATTCTCACTGTAAATTAAAAACTCAGTATAACAAGCACTTCCATATATATATGATGGTAAAATAATTATATTTTAATTAATTTGGATAAGCCCAAATTATTTGTACAGTATGTATCATTCTGCTACTAGTGCAAACTCAAATATCTGCGCCATAAGTTTGGACCTCAAGGTGAATGTGCAAACTTGTATCTTACTTTAACTTTAGAAAAAGTCTCATTAATACTTATGAATATGGGTGTTTGCAGCAGAGATGATTCAGAAAAAAGTAAGAAAGGGTTGCTTCCTTTTCCCCTCTGCTCAACTCCCAATATATATAGCCATGGCTACTTTTCTGAGACATTCCTGAGTTCTGAAACGGTCTCTCCATTACTCTCCTCCCTCTCCCTCCCCAACCTGAAACACATACATCTCTTTAAAGATTTAATTAGAAACCAGAAGTTCAGATTATCTTTGTGGAGGCCTGTGACAGGGTCTGCCCCCCTTGCACTGAACAGGAGGGGGGCAAGCATGCCTATTGGGTGGAGTACACCCTCCTCCATGTCCCTGCTGAGCATGCTCCCAGGGCAGCCTAGGTATAAAAGCCCGCAAAGTAGCTCAGTGCGGGGGACCTCCGGAGCGGGAAGAGCTGCCGCATGAGCGCTGGAGCCACTGCCCCGGCCACAACCGCTGCTGCCGGAGCAAGCACCGCCAGACCAGCTGTCCCCAACAC